TTCAACAAAAATATAGATTGTGTAACTAGATTTTCTACTCTTTGGAAACAGGAGGGTTGGTGCAAAAAAAAAAAAATGTGAAGATTGATTTGCACAACACACCATTAGGAAGAATGTCCTATGTGTTCGCTCCGAACCTATCCTATTTCCAGGCACTCTGCTTATTTCTTCTCAAAATAATGGCAAGAACAATTAATGAAGTACTTCTCTTCAAAGGTTATCATATTCACACAATGAATGGAATACATATCATTGTAAGTAGTAGCCTCTTTAGAGAAGTCATGAACAATATTCTCTAAATCAGGGGTTCTCAACCTTGGCAACTTTAAGACTTGTGGACTTCAACTCCCAGAATTCCTCAGCCAGCAAAGCTTAGCTGGCTGAGGAATTCTGGGAGTTGAAGTCCACAAGTCTTAAAGTTGCCAAGGTTGAGAACCCCTGCTCTAAATGATCATTATAACAATCTCATTTTAGAAACTGGGCCAGCCCATTCCAGGAACTGTGGGCAGGTTTTGACTTCAAAGGCAAGACTTTAGATTACATCATAAGAATGAATTAAAACCTGATGGAACTAAGTCACAGCAGGTGGCTACACCAAGATGATCTCCCGAAAAGCTGTATCATGCTTAGCAGACCACCAGAAAATCCAGGAGATGTAGGTTAGGAAAATTAATCCTCATTATAATAATCATCATTATCCCAGAGAACAATGATCCACACTAGGGATCTCCGACCTTTATGGGCTTCAACTCCCAGAATTCCTCAGCCAATTTATAGACTTCAATTCCTCTGAGAGCTGAAGTCTACAAGTCTACAAATTGTAAAGCTAGCAAGGTTGGAGACTCCTGATCTATACTGTTCTTTGGAAACTACATTGACATATGCTCAAGTTACTACACTCTTGAGTTTGATCCAAGGAATGTATGATCCCATGGCTTTCTGCCTGCAATTTAAGAAAGATGTCTTTCTAATCTAGGCCTTGCTTCTTAGAGACTATCATTTACAGAATCCACAGAATAGGGCCTTCTCAATCTAGAAGAACATCTTCTTGAGTTTCCAAAAATCTATCATCTTTCAGTGTGCCTTCAGGACTTGATACATTCTCTTGTTTGTCCCTGTAAGATAAAATCTACTGTATATGTCAGTTGATTGCCAGTACTGCCTGGGACATTTTAGATATGATTTTAATTCAACAGCTGTATTAAATATAAGCTGTATGCCATCCAGAATCTACTATGAGTAGAACAGCCTATAAGATTAGTATGTAAGTAAATAATAATAATAATAATAATAATAATAATAATAATAATAATAATGACTCGCTAGGTAGACAAAATGCCAAATCCAGTCTGAACATCTGGCTGACTGTGCGATGATCCGTAATAATAATAATAATAATAATAATAATAATGTTGGAAGGGACCTTGGAAGTCATCTAGTCCAACGTCCTGCTCAGGCAGGAAACCCTATACTATTTCAGACAAATGGCTATCCAGTCTCTTCTTAAAAACTTCCAGTGTTGGCGCATTCACCGCTTCTGGAGGCAGGCTGTTCCACTGATTAATTGTTCCAACTGTCAGGAAGTTTTTCCTTAGTTCTAGGTTGCTTCTCTCCTTGGTCAGTTCCCATCTGTTGCTTCTTGTCCTGCCTTCAAGCGCCTTGCAGAATAGCTTGATTCCCTCTTCTTTGTGGCAGCCCCTGAGATATTGGAACACTGCTAACCCGAAGTTCTTCTCTTCATTAAACTAGACATACCCAATTCCAGCAACCGTTCCTTATATGTTTTAGCTTCCAGTCCCCTAATCATCTTTGTTGCTCTTCTCTGCACTCTTTCTAGAGTCTCAGCATCTTTTTTACATCGTGGTGACCAAAACTGGATGCAGTATTCCAAGTGTGGCCTTACCAAGGCATTGTAAAGTGGTATTAACATTTCACGTGATCTTGATTCTATCCCTCTGTTAATGCAGTCCAGGACTGTGTTGGCTTTTTTGGCAGCTGCAGCACACGGCTGGCTCTTATTTAGATGGTTGTCCACTAGGACTCCGAGATCCCTCTCACAGTTGCTACTATTGAGCGAGGTACCACTTGTACTATACTCAGGGATTTTTTTTTTCTTTCTGACTCTAGTTCTCTAATACCCCTCTTCTATTAATGTAGAAGAATAGAGATGGAACAGACCTTGGAGGTCTTCTAGTCCAACCCTCCTCAAACAGAAGACTCTACTATACTCAGTGATACAATGATACTACACTGTGTGCTTTGATAGTAGCTCCAATAAACCAAGCATTTAGTTTTTATATAAATATTTTATTAATTTTCTTACAATCACGAGCACTTAATAAACAACATGTTGTCTGGGTCCATTGGTAATTCAGTGGTACTTATTAATTTTCTCAATCTAGTTCCAATACTACACCATCCAGTGCTTCCTTGGTCCTCTCTTTTTCCTGTGGTATGCATTTTTCCACACTGGGCAAATACAATTCTTGTTACTGTTAATACATATACAATTAAATATAGAAATCTTCATCACATTTTTCTGGTATACATAATATCAATAGTGTCAGTTTATAATATCTTTTCTAGCCAGAACACATCTCAATTGCATTTGCACTTAAAATCCATTTGCTCAATCAATATCCTCTTTTTCCTGCTTTTTTAAAATTTTGATTTCCCATCAATGTTCAAAATAACTCTATCGCTTATATTTTTCTCATACTAAATTATATTTGGGTAACCAAAAGCTTCCTTTATTCAAACCCTTTTAGAATGTTCATATTTCCCATCTCATAACAAAGTATAATATTCTAGTTACAAATCCTATCCTTCTAATTATAATAATACTTTTATTTCTAACAGTTATCTATTTTCTGAACCACATTCAAACATCTAATAGTATAATATCCCATCTAATAGGTCAGAACCTCTATTTTCTTCAGTCTTACTCTAGCTTTCTTCCTTTGCCAAATAACTTTCCAAGTCAGTACATTTAAATCATCAAGTAGTTCTTCCTCTGTTTTTGTATATAGTATTTGGGATGAGGAAGAGAATTTGATTTTTGAAAGACCACTCAACCCATTTATGTTCATTAGACAGCCTCCATCTTTCTTCTTCAGTTTTTCTTTTCATTTCTTATTTGTTAAGATTCAGCATTTCTCCTAACAACTTGATCATCCATTAAATCAGCTCTTCTTTCTTATCCTCAAATATGTTTTGAGATCTTGAGTAAGATATAAAGTAAGATATCTTTTTCATTTCCAGTGTTATCACTGCATCTTCTAAATTTCTCTTTGTCTGTATCTGTCTGTTAATTCCTTCCTTTAGGTCCTCCATCTTTGGATCCATATTTTCTCATTTTTCTTCTGTTTTCTGGTTTACTAGTTCCTTCTTTGTAGTCGTTGTCTGGATTTGTACATTTAGGTTGGAAAATTGTTCTTTTATCTCATTTGCGCTATTTTTAGTCTCATAATGAAATAAAACAATTGTCTCTTGGATTGATTTCATCATAAAAAGAATTTCTTTCTGAGATTCATTAACATTTTCTTGTTGGAATATCAAGCTTGGGGTTCAGAGACAAGTGTTAAAGATGTTTTTTTTACCATTTGTGGCTAAGTATGGAACACCCATTTTGTTTTTGTATGTAATCTTTATAGTCCAATAGGATCTTTACTGCAGATAAGCAGCCAAGAAGGTTTTTTTTCCCCTTGTCCCAGCTGCAGTCTGCAAAAGTGAAAGTTTCCAGGATCAATAAAGAGTCTTATGTAAGTCTGGGCTTCAAACCAAGTTTCCTTTAAGTGTGATTTGCCACTAGATGTTGTTGACACCATCTTCCAGCTTTCCAAATCCAAGCCTATTATACAGACTTTCAAATATCTTTTCTAAAAAAAGTCTCAACAATACTTTTAGTCCCCAAATTTCAAAGCTATATGTCTGTATTAATTCCAAATTGATCTTTTAGTTTTCTCTATTTTCCCCCAAAGCAATTAATTTGCCACTTTTCTTTTCCTGAGGAAGTGGGACAAAAACTTCTCCTCCCTCTCTCATTGGGGAAGATTCTTTGCTTTGGGCATTCTTTTTTCCAGGAGAGTAGTATTAAGGACATAAAAAGAGGATAAAATGTCACCCAGTTCCATCCACATTGCTCAAAAATTGCTAGTTAGTGCTTATCTTCGATTGTCAGCAGCTTCTAACTGACCACACGAATGTAGCCAATCTTACCCCGGCTGGTTTGGAGGGCTTCTGCAGATCCAGCAGAAGGGCTGCCACCATTCTGCAATCAATGAGGGTCCCTTCCTTCTTCATCACCTCTCCAGGGCAACTTTTGTCCCGTTTTAGAACCCTCAGCGGGGTGAAATCGAATGTGGAAGACGGACCCCCATCTTCCTGCGTCCATCACACCACAATGCCTAACCGGAAGTACTACCAAGCATAGATTGACATGACACCACAACTGAGTGACACAACCACTGTTGTGCTTTGATATTAGCTCCAATAAACCAAGGATTTAATGGAGTGATACAACCACCATTGTGCCTTGATGGTAGTTTCAATAAACCAAGCATTTATTTAAGTCATACAACCACTGAGTGATACAACCACTGTTGTGCTTTGATATTAGCTCCAATAAACCAAGCATTTAATGGAGTGATACAACCACCATTGTGCCTTGATGGTAGTTTCAATAAACCAAACATTTATTGAAGTCATACAACCACTGAGTGAAACAACCACTGTTGTGCTTTGATGGTAGTTCCAATAAACCAAGTGTTTATTGAAGCGATACAACCACTGAGTGATACAGCCGCTGTTGTGCTTTGATAGTAGCTCCAATAAACCAAGCCCCTCAACCTATTGGTTTCTGACACCTTCCTGAAAAGTTTTGATTATAATTTCTGTTCGCACCCAGGAAACCCTGTAAATTGAATGAACAGACTGGGACCAGATCAAGGCGGCTGATTAAATGACTTTAAAAGCCTTGTTGTTTCTCCTTTGTTTTGCAGAACAAGAGGAATGCATTAACTGCACCGATGAATGCCGAGTGCTTGGCCATTCTGACAGATGTTGGATGCCCCAGTTCCCTGCCTCTAACCAAGCAGACAACGCCGACTACCGAACAAATCTCTTTGTGCCCACGGTGGAAGCTAATGTCGAGACTGAGACTTACGAAACTGTGAACCCTACGGGGAAAAAGACCTTTTGTACATTTGGGAAGGACAAGCGAGAGCACACCATTCTCATTGCCAATGTGAAACCTTATCTCAAAGCCAAACGTGCCCTGAGCCCTCTCCTCCAGGAGGTCCCCTCAGCATCAAGCAGCCCAACCAAGACCTGCATCGAGCCTTCGACGAAAGGACCCCTGGATGGTTGTGAAGTCAAAATGGGGGCCTTGGCTGAACCCAACAGTCAGTACCTGTCACCTAGCAAACAGTCCAGAGACGCTGCCTACATGGCGTCTGATCAGATGGCCAGGGTCTTTGCCGAGGTGCATTCCCGGGTCAGCCGAGACTCCGCTGATATGGACTCTGTCTTGGAACAGATAGACCGTTCGAACAGGGAACTAGGGAGAGAGTCCGTAGACGCGGAGGAAGTGGTGCGGGAGATCGACAAGCTTTTGCAGGACTGTCGGGCAAACGACCCCATGGCTGTGAGAAAATGAAGCAAAACAGAAACAAAAAACAAAAAAGACAGTCTGGCATTGATTTGCTTCTTCTGCTGAATTATATATTTAAAAAAAGAAAAAAAAGAAAAAAATAAATCTCCCCTGGTTCTAAAAATTTATACAGGGATGAACAAAAGACCAATGCTGCTTTAAGGCTTTTAGTGAACATCTGAAGTGCCCTCCAGTTTGTTTGTTTCACTGCTCTTTCTTTTCTTTTTTTTTTCAGATAACACTGGTTTCATTTTTTTTTTACCAAACTTCCATTAGAACAATATGGTGTATGTTTTTTTAAAAAGAAAAAAAGAAAAAAAAGAAAAAGGGAGGAAGGAAGGAAGGAAGGAAGGAAGGAAGGAAGGAAGGAAGAAAGAAAGAAAGAAAGAAAGAAAGAAAGAAAGAAAGAAAGAAAGAAAGAAAGAAAGAAAGAAAGAAAGATTGGGACCACTTTGACAATCGAAGAGAAAGGAGTAAGATAAATGGAATCAGATTTTTTAGGACCGATAGTTAATGTTGACTTCACTGTTTACCTGTAGACCCCATAAAAATCAGGGTGGGATAGTTGTGTGATAAGTTTACAACAGTCATTCAAGATTTCTAGGGGAAATCCCACATCAGAAATCCGATAAACATACAAACAAATGTTCTTGTAGTCAGACAGCCAAGTACACAAAGCATTAACATTCATTTCTGATAAGCATTTCTGTATAAAGGCATCTGCCACATCCTTAAAAGAGAAAGAAAGAAATGAAAAGGATAAAAAAAAAATATGGAAACCCCTCCAAATGCATTCCATAACTTCATTCAGCGAAATTATCCTGATCAGTAGTAACACGGCTCATATCATATTAAAGTTAAATGTAAAATGATCGAGTCAATGTTTGTCCTGCACATGCATAAATGAATTAATGTGATAAGGAAAGAAATGGAAGGAGTGTCTAGCAAGAATTGAGGTAACTATGCTTTATACCTGAGGCACAATATGAGAAGGCCGCTTTAAATGCCGTTACACGGGCAATAAGAGCGGAGACAAATTAATGTGATTAACACCTGTTGTAATTCATTTATGGACAGCAACTAGCTCGAGTGCCGAGATTCCAGACCTTCACCCAAATCATTTAAATGTGCAAATGTAAGAAGATTCAATGTGTTTACATCAAATGACATATTTTTTTCTTGATTTATTGCAGATTCAGTGCATTTGAGCCAAATTGTTGAGTGTATAAGAGCTATATTGTGTATTTTATTAAATTAATATATAGTTGTGTTGCAAAAAAAATAATAATAATAATATTTGGGCTTATAATGTAAATGGCAAGTGTTGCCTCCGTAGCTGTCAAACTCTATGAGTTTTGTTCTCTCCTCTTTTTTTTTTCCCGCCCCTTTTCCATACAGAGTGTGGGAAGCAGAGCCTCCAGAGCAAAATCTCCTGTTAAATGTATGGTCTCCCAAATTTTACAGTACATCATCTGTTCAAAATGTGTCTTGAGTGAGTTGATGGAGCTAACTGAACGGCAGACGAAATCCATCCATCCGTCATGGTTGTGTGCAAGTCCTTGTAGAAGCTTCTGTCGCAACCCATGTTTAATAACAACAACAACAAAAAAAAAATTACACTTGAACTGACACCTGGAAAGTCCTTGTTCTTTTATCAGGCGTATTCATTCGTTCACATCGGCGCCCATCAGCCTACTTGGATCACATCCTCATGTATGAACTCTCAAATTACCCTAATATTTTGACACGCTTCGCTTAATGATCATATTTTCACTTAGGCATAATAGGCAAAATGTCTAGGGCCAGTGAAAATATATTAGGCTCAATCAAAAAATCTGAAAAGTAGCAGAAAAACCAAACTCCTATATCCTGAAAGTAAATATATTTAAGTTACCATTACTACTTTATTATGCTATTCTCTGTGACTTCTTGAGGCCTATAGATCTAGGGAATATTTTTATATCCCTAAGGAGATATTAGTCCAAAAATAAATGTGCTTAGGGCCCACAATGGTCTTAATGCATTCGTGGTTCTTTTAGCATTGTGGGCTACAAAATGTGTTGGTGTCTCATAGTACAAGCTTTGATCTGGTTTCATGGACAACACAGTGGTGTTCCTCCCGTCACCCTCCATTAGTACAGTTTTTAGTCGTTGTACTTTTGCTCACTTTCTCTTGCACACACTTTCCTATATGTTGTTCTTCATTGGATTCTTATAAAAGCATATAAGTAACATTTTCTTTGAATGACATTTGTATAAGCACAATAATAGAATGCTTAGGCTGTAGATGGATGGATGGATGGATGGATGGATGGATGGATGGATGGACGGATGGGTGTGAGGCAGGCAGAAAGATAATGTTCTTATTTTTATGTTGTAATCAAATTGTACAATACATAGAAAAAAAGAAAAAAAATATTCATTATTAAATACATGGTATAATTTCTTCCATTTCCTTAAATGGAATGAGAATTTTATTGCTGGCTGGTGTCAGGTGCAAGAAATTGGACACCAGGGTTGTTCAAATGAGTACTATTCTCTAAACATAAATCTGAGCTACTAACTATTAAAGCAAATTGGTGGATAAATAAGAGTCAACAAACTTCAAGGAGGTCTGGACTTATATCTCTTGCGGGTGCAAAAAATGACTGATGACGAGCTTGACCCCTCCCTCAGTTTCAGCTGGTCATCTCCTATGGCTGGCAGATTTCAAACTATATCAAGCCATTGATTGTCTTTTTTTTTTTTTTAGTTTTTGCCACGACTAAAATACTAACTTAAAAAAAAAGAAAGAAAAGAAAAAGACAAGAATTTATTTTGCTATTTTACATCAACGCATCCTTGATTTTTGGTTCCTGGTCCAAAAGTTGTGACATGACTCTCTGGGTTACACTTTGTGAAATGGGCTGATCTAAACATAATAGTATTGGCAGACTTGATGGAGATGGTATAAACAACACTGTGGAAAAAGGGTATAATGGTGTCCCACTGAGAGCAGCTAAGCCAGGGGTAGGCAACCTTGGCTCTTTTATGACTCGTGGACTTCAACTCTTAGAATTCCTGAGCCAGCCATGCTGAGGGGAAAGGGAGAGGTTTCCATGCTGAGCCAGGCTGGCACAGGAATTCTGGGAGTTGAAGTCCACAAGTCATAAAAGAGCCAAGGTGGCCTACCCCTGGTCTAGGAGGCTCACCGCTTAGAACAGGACTTAGGCCAGAGATAGGCAACATTGGCTCTTTTATGACTCGTGGACTTCAACTCCCAGAATTCCTGAGCCAGCCATGCTGAGGGAAAAGGGAGAGGTTTCCATGCTGAGCCAGGCTGGCTCAGGAATTCTGGGAGTTGAAGTCCACGAGTCATAAAAGAGCCAAGGTGGCCTACTCCTGAGCTAAGCATTTAGAATTTCCCATATCTACATCATATATATTTTGGAAATAGACCAAAGATTCTTTAAGAAGAAGAAAAAAAATTATCCCTCTTGAGTTAAGTCTTAAGAGCCCTTCAACTTGCAGGTGGGTGAAAACTGAAGTTGATATTAAACTGGGAAAATCCGGCTGATCAAATCCAGATAGAAAAAGTGACAATGAACTTTCCTTCCCATCCGCCACTGTTCCTTCCATGGATTTCATACTGAATCCATTGGGGGAAAATTAATAATAATGATGATGATGATGATGATGATGATGATGATGATGGAAGGGAACTTGGAGGTCATCGAGTCCAGCCCCCTGCTCAGGCAGGAAACCCTATACCATTTCTGACAAATGTTGCCCAGTCTCTTCTCAAAAACTTCCAGTGTTGAAGCATTCACCACTTCTGGAGGCAGGTTGTTCCACTGGTTAATTGTTCTCACTGTCAGGAAGTTTCTCCTTAGTTCTAGGTTGCTTCTCTCCTTGATGAGTTTCCATCCGTTGCTTCTTGTCCTGCCTTCAGGTGCTTTGGAGAATAGCTTGACTCCCTCTTCTTTGGGGCAGCCCCTGAGATACTGGAACGCTGCTATCATGTCCCCCCTCGTTCTTCTCTTCATTAAACTAGACATACCCAATTCCAGCAACCGTTCCTTATATGTTTTAGCCTCTAGTCCCCTAATCATCTTTGTTGCTCTTCTCTGCACTCTTTCTAGAGTCTCAGCATCTTTTTTACATCATGGTGACCAAAACTGGATGCCGTATTCCAAGTGTGGCATTACCAAGGCATTGAAGAGTGGTATTAACACTAAAATTGTTGGGAGTACAGCTTCGGAATTTCACCTGCATCAAACTTTTGTATTGTATCACATTTTCTTTTTTTTTTTAATTGAGAATTTTTAAAAGTTTTTACAAATAACAAAAAAAGAACAATAAAAAACAAAACAAAACAAAACAACCCTCACCCAACCCCTCCCAAACCACCCCCTCCATCCCCCCCCCCCGAGCTTCCCAGAGCTGAATATAGGCTTAATTAAAATTTTAAGAAACGTAAACAAATTTTAACAACTTATAAAATAGTTAATAATAAAATAAAATATCACATTTTCTGATATTCTCTATCCTAGCAATGATGAAAGTGGATGAAACCATTAAGTCTCATTAATTTCTCTAGGAGCTTTATCATACTTTGGTGCAGAGAGAGAGAGAGAGGGAAGGAGGGACGGAGAGAGGGAGGGAAAGAGGGAGAAGGATCATCACAACAATGGATGGTCTGCAGATGAAAATCTGCAATCTATTTGTGTGCACAGTGTGCCTTGTGATTCTTCAAATTATCATCAGAAAATCTGTAGCTCGCCTTGTCCTTGTTCTTTTAAGCCCTTTCTTACCGATTTGGTCCAAATGGTGTTAGGTGTGTCCTAAGCAACTATTTTGCCCCCAAATGCCAAGATAATAGACCAGGGGACCCGCAAACTCTCGTCCGTGGACCAGTACCAGCCCGCAGCATGCCAGCAACCAGTCAGCAGAAACAAGCAAAGCCCCATCCATGGGATGCAGGCAGCACACAAAACCACCTACTCTCCAGTCCACAGAAAAACCTGTCTCCATGGAACCGGTCCTTGGTGCCCAAAAGGTTGGAGACCTCTGCAATAGATGAATCATCAAGTCAATATGTTCCTGTAAGTTCATACAGTGGTTTGATGCAGTGATTAAGGCAGGGGTATCAAACTGCTGGCCCACGGGCTAGACGTATCATCCAGAAGCCGGGCCCATCCCATTGCCGGCAATGTCAAAACCGTCCTGATATGTTGCATGACATCCCGTGGCATCGCGAGTTTGACATGTCTGGATTAAGGCATCTGCCTAGAAACTGGGAGATTGTGAATTCTAGTTCCATCTTATGCACAAAGCCATCTCGATGGTCTTAGGCCAGTCCCTTTCTCTGAGCCCTAGGAAGGAGGCAATGACAAACCACTTCTGACAATTGGAAAACTGCAGGGATTTGTCCGAGCAGTCTCTGAGAATCAGACATGACTGAATGGAAGGGGGACAAAAAAAAAAAAAAAATCATGGCACCTAATGGTTTTGAATATCAAGTGTATAATTTTTCCACTGGCGGTCTAATTATTCCTCTGAAACAGCATTGGGAGAGATTAAGTGATGGCAGCAAGCACATTTTCTAAGTGGTTTGCACTAAGTAACTAACATTACAGCTACAAAGACTGTATATTCATTTAACGTAGGATTCCAGGAGAAGCCTTTGTTAACGTGAAAAAGGAATTCCTCTCAAGATATTCTGCAAGGTTGGTTGGATAGCTTAGCTGTTTAATGTTTCTACTTAGTGGTGATGATTTATTTACCAGACTTAGATCCTTCAACACCCATGATTCATAGCTGTTAAGTTCAGATCATAGGGTGCCATTATTTTTTAGGGATTGACTCAATCCACAAGTGTTTTGGCATCATTTTGTCTGAAATGGTATAGGGTTTCCAGCCTAAGCAGGGGGTTGAACTAGATGACCTCCAAGGTCCCTTCTCTTCTCTTCTCTTCTCTTCTCTTCTCTTCTCTCCTCTCCTCTCCTCTCCTCTCCTCTTATCTCCTCTTGTTTCTACTTTACTCTACTCTATTCTACTCTACTCTACTTTTATTCTATTCTATTCTATTCTATTCTATTCTATTCTATTCTGTTCTGTTCTGTTCTGTTCTGTTCTATTCTATTCTATTCTATTCTATTCTATTCTATTCTATTCTATTCTATTCTATTTACTCCACTTTACTCTACTCTACTCTTATTCTATTCTATTCTATTCTATTCTATTCTATTCTATTCTATTCTATTCTATTCTATTCTATTCTATTCTATTTACTCCACTTTACTCTACTCTACTCTTATTCTATTCTATTCTATTCTATTCTATTCTATTCTATTCTATTCTATTCTATTCTATTCTATTCTATTCTATTCCATATTTTCGATTCTATTCTATTCCATATTTTCTATTCTATTCTATTCTATTCTATTCTATTCTATTCTATTCTATTCCATATTTTCGATTCTATTCTATTCTATTCTATTCTACTCTATTCTTTTCTATTCTATTCTATTCTATTCTATTTACTCCACTTTACTCTACTCTACTCTTATTCTATTCTATTCTATTCTATTCTATTCCATATTTTCGATTCTATTCTATTCCATATTTTCGATTCTATTCTATTCTATTCTATTCTATTTTATTCCATATTTTCGATTCTATTCTATTCTATTCTATTCTATTCTATTCTATTCTATTCTATTCTATTCTATTCTATTTACTCCACTTTACTCTACTCTACTCTTATTCTATTCTATTCTATTCTATTCTATTCTATTCTATTTACTCCACTTTACTCTACTCTACTCTTATTCTATTCTATTCTATTCTATTCTATTCTATTCCATATTTTCTATTCTATTCTATTCTATTCTATTCTATTCTATTCTATTCTATTCTATTCTATTCTATTCTATTCTATTCTATTTTATTCCATATTTTCTTTTCTATTCTATTCTATTCTATTCTATTCTATTCTATTCTATTCTATTCTATTCTATTCTATTCTATTCTATTCTATTCCATATTTTCTATTCTATTCTATTCTATTCTATTCTATTCTATTCTATTCTATTCTATTCTATTCTATTCTATTCTATTCCATATTTTCTATTCTATTCTATTCTATTCTATTCTATTCTATTCTAGCAGTGGGTTCAATTTTGAAGGTTTTAAGAAAAGAGTGGACAGCCACCCCTCAAGGATAGTTTAAGTGGGCCTCTTGCACATTGTAGAGCATTGCACTATGGATAACGTTTGTGGTACTTTCCAATTCCATTTTACATGAAATTCTTCCTTGCTTTCAGAATCTGACATTTAATAAGTAGCAAAGGATCCATCTTAAGAATCGTTGTAACAGTGGCAAGCTAACAAGAAGTTGGGAAGGAAGGGATCGCCAATCTAGGACACTTTTTTTTTCTTTCAAAATAGTTGTTTCCGCAAGACCTATATATTTAACCC